GGTGAAAAGAAATGGGGAAAGAGGGTCAAACTTAGTATCAAACTATCAATAGGAGGAAATGTAACCCCTTATCCACTTGCACCACCTTCCCCGAAACTCCTACATCTTAACTGTAGTCGAATAGGACTACAATCAGTCCTAGGTACACTGTGAAAATAATCAAGAAAGATTGAGAGAGAAAGAAGGAGAAGACGAAGAGAAGAAGAGGAGAATTCGAAGAGGAGATTTGAGAAAAAGAGAGAGATAGAGTTGACAATCTGTCGCCCCACTCTACAATTTATATTAATACTCAAATAAAAGTGAAAGGGCCGAATTACCCTTACTGCTTAAATGGCAAAAGAAATAATAAAAGAACTAATCTACTATAAACTGAAATAACTAACTGCTAATACAATCACACAAACATAGTGGGGAACACATCATTGTTCTCTACATTCCCCCTCAAGTTGGGAATAGATGTTTGTCATTCCCAACTTGCATAGATCTACTTCTAACTTCTTCTTTAAAACTACCTTGGTGAGAAGATCTGCAAACTGCATGTTGGAGGTGAGAAACTCTGATAGCAAAAGTCTCCAAGTAGTCTTTGTCATATGTCTGAGTAAATCCCTTGCAACTAATTTGGTCTTATACCTTTCAATGGAACCATCAGCATTATGCTTCATAGTAAACATCCATCTACATCCAACTGGTTTTTTCCATTTAGGTTGATCAACTAGCTCCCAGGTATTGTTCTTTATAAGGGCATCCATTTTTGCCCTCATTGCATCCTTCCATTCAGATACTGACAAGGCTTCCTGCACTATTCTAGGGAATGAGGATATCAACAATGAATGCAAGAAATGACTTTTAAGATGGAGACAAATGATCATAAGACAGGAACTAGGAAATACAGTGAGTTGTAGATGAGGTGCAACGGCGTTTGCCTTTAGGGACTACAATGGGGAGGTCAAGGTCATCCAATGGAGGTGAAGGCTCAACAAAAGGGGGTGAAGGCTCAACAATGGAAGGTATCTCATCTGTAATGGAAGATAAAGGAACTGTGGTACCTGGATCTGGATCTACAAAAGGAATTGGGGCTGGCCTGGACTACTGATGACTAAAATTAACCTGCCTCCACCGTCTGTGATAAACTCTCAAATCCCGACACCTCTGACAACCCTCCCCACTACACCCCTCTTCAATGATTGGGACAGGTAATGGAACTTCTGATGAGTGAACCCCAACCTCATTACTCTCCCCCTGAGAAGAAACCCTAGGATAATAAGGTACATCCTAAAAGAAAATGACATCCATAGAGACAAACCAAGGAAAATGCATTTTGAGGCTTTAGGATCAAATTTGGAACGATGAGGACCAAGGGTCTGAACAAAGAAAGTACAGCCAAAGGTTTTAAGGGGAATGGTGAACAACTCTTTATCAGGATATAAAAGAGTGAATGGGGCTTTCATGTCAAGAACCCTTGAAGGAATTCGGTTGATGAGATATACAGCTGTATGAGTGGCATCTCCCCAGAAACGTATAGGCACATTGGAGTTAAACATGATGCTTCTAGCCACCTCCAATATGTGTCTATTCTTCCTCTCAGCAACCCCATTCTGCTGAGGTGTATGAGGACAGGTACTCTGTTGGATCATCCCATGGTCAAGGAAATATGAGGCTAATGGTTTTGCGAAGTACTCTTTTGCATTGTCAGATCTAAAAAAATTGATTTTGACCTCAAACTGGGTTAAAATCATCTGATGAAAGATCCAAGTCAAGGTAGGAACCTCATCTCGAGAACGCATAAGGTAAACCCAAGAAAAGCGGGTATAGTCATCAACAAACAACAAGAAATATCTGTACCCACCCATAGCAGTGATGTGATAAGGTCCCCAAACATCGGTATGCACAATTTCAAAAGGAATACTACTTTTATTACTCAATGAATAGGTTGTTCTACAATGCTTTGCAAGCCCACAACTTTCACCTTTCAAATTGGACATTTGGACAAACTCAAACAAACTAGGAAACAAACTTTTCAAAGACCTAAAAGATAAATGACGCAACCAGTTATGCCAAAGCATAACCTGACCAACAGACCGAGAAACAAAAGACCTCCTAACTTCACTATCTTCCCAATGTGAGCTCCCTCCAAGCAGATAGATTCCATTTGCCTCATGGCCAATCCCAATCACCTTCCTTGTCTCCAAATCTTGAAAAGCACATCGATCAGAGAAAAATGTTACTGAACAATTATGGGTTTTGGTAATGCTACTAATTGAAAGCAAATGAGTAATAAGTTTAGGAATATGCAAAATTGAAGACAGAAATGGCATTAGACAACTTAATGTCTCATTTGCCAGAAATGGGAACAAGAGAGCCATCAGCAATAGACACTTTGTCTCTACTAGAGGATAAGTGATAGGTAGTAAACAATGAGGACAAGCCAGTCATATGATCAGATGCACCTAAGTCTATCGCCCAACAGTGTTTACTGTTACCTGGGGCTGAAGCATGATAAGCTGAGGCCCGTGTACCTAAATGAGCAAAAGCTGAAGTGGGAGGAGCTGATGTTGTGACTGACGGCTGAGATGATGGTGCTGAATTACCAACTTCACTCTCCAACTGAGTAAGAGCATCCCGGACAGCAGTTAAAGTGTCTAGGGATGTGGCTCTTGTGCTCGATGAGGTTGCACAATCAGTAGTAACAACCACGTTGACATTTCCCCTTTTGTTTCTGAGTTTTACTGGAACTAGATGAGGATGTAACTTCCAACAGGTGTCTTTAGTATGCTTAGGTTTCTTGCAATGTTCACATACTAGGTCCCTCTTGTCTTCTTTCTTCATATCCCTCTCCTTATCACCCTAAACTTGGGTTTAGCTACTGCCAAGGCTGATTCAAAAGGCTGATGCTGCAACATGACTTTTCCCCTACTCTCTTCACTGTGCACTAAGGAGTAGGCTTGTGATAAGGTCACACTTTCTCTTGTGAGAAGTTGTTGTCTCACAATATCATATTCAGAATTCAGACCGGTTAGAAATTCAAACACCCTTTTAGTTTCAACTTGCCTTCTGTAAGTCTGGGCATCCTTCTGGCTTTCCCACTCAATATCAGAATTCAGAATTCTTTCAAACCTTTTACACCCAGAGATTGCTTGACTGCTGACTTAGAAGGTTCAGCCACCACCCAAAAATGATGAAACAGATTTGTTGGTTTTCCAGAAGCAGAAACCTCACTCTTGAATGCTGAAACTGGTCAAATTATTGCCCTAGAATTGGCAACAATCAAAACTGATCAAATTTTAGGGTTTCTTTCTTGACCTATGATCAGTTCTTGGATTGAAACCCTAAAAAACTCAGGAGAGAACTAAAGCCTCCAGCCGCACCTCCCAGATTGATAAAAAGATGGTCTTTTAAGGTTCGATCTCAAGAAAAAAGTCAACTTACTCAGAAAAGTCTAGCCGCCACCTTCCAACCAAGGTCTGAACCCTAAAACTGAGATTTCTTCCCTTCTGATTCTTCCTGATTGCTGAACACTCTCCAAGGCCCTACAAACATTTGGGAATCGACTGCACACTGCCAGCAACCTCCAAGAACCAGCTGATGAACAAACCTCTGCTGAAACTTCCAACCCTAGGAAATTCTCATGTTTGCTAATTAGACTAGCATAATAACTCCTAGGTTGGCTTTGATACCATGTAGTCGAATAGGACTACAATCAGTCCTAGGTACACTGAAAATAATCAAGAAAGATTGAGAGAGAAAGAAGGAGAAGACGAAGAGAAGAAGAGAAGGAGAATTCAAAGAGGAGATTTCAGAAAAAAGAGAGAGAGAGTTGACAATCTGTTTCCCCACTCTACAATTTATATTAATACTCAAATAAAAGTGAAAGGGCTGAATTACCCTTACTGCTTACATGGCAAAAGAAATAATAAAAGAACTAATAAACTACCAACTGAAATAACTAACTGCTAATACAATCTCACGAACACAATGGGGACCACATCACTGTTCTCTACATTAACACTTCAAGAATGAACTCCCAATCATTAATAAAAAAAAAAAAAGAATGAACTCCCAATCCACCAAATCATATGCTTTAAGTCATTCTATCCAGCCATTTGGTAGAAACTCCACAGTTTAAACCCATTGACAACCTACAACATGCTTCAACAATGGGAGAGTAGTAAACTCCCATGTGTTTTTATGTTCAAGAGCGGAAAATTCCTCCTCCATTGCTTTGAGCTACCTTGGAGAGGCAGGAGCTTCTTGGACAATATAGGAATAGAAGATAGTTAAGGAATAAACTGATAATGGAAGAAGATAAATCAGAAATTGAGATGAAGTTGGAAAGAGTTTGGCCTACTCTATTTGTTTTGATTATGATTCATTAGGAATATAATTCTTACGATTTAGCCAATTCATCAGGAATGGGAATAGAAGATGGTAAAAGAATTATGATTCATCAGGGATAGGAATAGAAGATAGTAAAAGAATTATGATTCATCAGGAATAAACTGATGAACCAGTTCTTACGATTTGGCCTACTCTATCCCTGATCTAGATCACCAAGTTTTGAATCACTGCTGTAATTTAAAAAAAAAAAAAGGCCATTGTCCAATGTTGGTCTCAGCTATCTGGGGTCTTGGGAGGTGTAGACTGGATATTGTCCTAATCTTTGAATTACTGCAGTAAATCCAGTTGGAAATTAAGTCCTGTTTGTGTCCACCAATTAAGTACCATATAATGCACTTTTCTCATTTTCTTTTTGAATATCCATGAGAAAGTTCAACTTTTGTCTCCTATTTGATTTTAAATTGTCATCAGAGTGACTCCTTGTTGTAGTGATTCTGAAAACATCTTTACTTCTCTTCTACTTACTGTGGCAAAAGGATTCAGATACATGAAGATAAATGTAGTATAATGCATGCTCTGCTCACCACTATCTTGTTCCATGGATTAGTTAAGTTTAACGGCACTGGAAGCGCCAGCTAATGTTCAGATTTTTTCTGCCTATTCAGCCACCTCCACCGGTTAATGACACCAATCCGTACAATGTATTTAGACCAAGGGAGAAAGCACACAGACTCCATACAAGAAGGGTGAGATGTTATGCTTAGTTTGGTGCATGACTTTTGTTGCTAGTTAAATATTAAATATCTATTCCAATTGAGTAGATAAGTTCTATTTTTGTTCTTGTTGAAGCACACACAAACCAGATTTACTAGTCAATCGAATTACAAGCTTTTCTCTTCATGGTTTTTAGATGCAAAGGAGAGAAAACAATGTGCAGTCATTTGAAAAACTTCGTCAGGTAAAAACCACTATCACCTTATTCCTGTGTATTCATAGAATTCATCTTGGCTAATATGCATGAATACCATAACTATGGTAATAAGGGGGATCAGCTTGAAAGCTTAGAGCTTGGTTTAACCTTTCTGGAATTTAAGGTTACAATTATGGTTTGACCTGCATACATAAGCTAATCTTTCAGTTTGTCCTACAGTCACTATCTTCTTTGTCTTTATTTCATTATCCTTTGAAGTAATTGCCTTTCCTCTTTCTTTATGAATTATGTGTAGTATTTACCTTTCTCCAATTTGATTGTTAAAGAAATTTTGTTGCTGACATAGATAAGGTAAGCTTGCCATTGTTATATCTTCCAGCTCACTCCGGATCTGCTACCCACAAAATTTTCCCACATCCCTACCCACAGAGCACTACTGTCGTGTATTGGGAACATCTCCCCATGAATGGAAAGGGAGATATTCCCAATGTGCATCTATAATGTCTCATGGGTAGAGATGTGGGAACAACTCATGGGTAGCAGATCCGAGACCCTACCAGCTGGTGCTTGCATTCCTTTCTGTTCCTAGAATTACAAGTAGCAACTTGGATCACTTCATCTTTCTAGTAGCATCTGCAAGTTCAACAAAAAATAATTGAAAGAAAAAAAAGAGTTGAAAACAGCCCTCTTGAAGTATAGAACTGCTTGAGATTAGATGCAAAACCAGAAAACAAACAAGAGAAGATTAAGAAGATGAGAGAGAGAGAGAGCTGGCGGCAATGAGAGTTAGAGAGTGAGAGGTTCGAACTTAACCTCCCTCTAACACTCTAAAACATTTTATTAAGTTAATCTTTGAATTATTA